TCTACTGCACTACACAGAGGTATTTCTTGTACTTCTACTGCACTACATCTGATGCCATAGAAGAACCATTTCTGGTTTCACAAAGATGGTTTTTAAGGGTGCAGAAGCAATATGGTTGCAAGATGTTTGTGTTGCATTGTAGCCGCCATATGTTCTTGTATGTTCCTCTCTTGTTTTGTTCTCACAGTAAAGGAGGATGTGTGACACCTGGAAGCTCTCAGGAGGCGGGACTTAAACCCCCCCCCCCCCCCCCCCCGAGTTGTATCTCAGGGCACAAACATCAAAAGAAGTGACAGATAATGTTAGGACGCTTCGGTCACTGCAGTCTCAAGCACAGGGAGGTTTTCAGGAGGATGATATGGCAACTTCTGAACACATGCAGGACAAGTCGGGAAGTTAAGAGACAAACTTTAGTCCAGGAGCAGCAGGGAGGTGTATAAAAGGAGAAAAGCTTCAGTTTCTGTCCACTGTGTCCTGTCGGGTTGGCCAATACACATAAGGAGATAAGTCATCCAAAGAAACCAATAATTCTCTAAAGTTGCTGTTTTGAATCCCAACAAGCAAAGTCAGGTTGAGGAAACTTCTCCCCCGACTGTCGCAAAGGTTCAAACGTGTAATGTCTCAGAGCTAAGTGTGAAAACTGAAGCTGTGAGACTTTCTCACAGTAGTGAAGTGAAGTGTGAATGAAAAGGCCAGCGCAGAACACCTGCTGCTCCTCGCAGGTCTAGTATTTAGCGGAGCGGTGCATCCTTTGGTCTCTGAAGCCTCCAGCACCTGATATTTACTTTACAACTCCCCCTGTTTTCAGGCACATGTCGAGGTCATGAACTCAGTGGTGCTTTAGGATGAGAGAGAGGAGGACAGCACACTGCAGTTATTGACAGAATATGAGAAAATGGGCCCCTGGGCACAGAAATGTAAAGGGACCCCACCTCACTACATAAGAACAAGAGCCATGAAGTTTTGGTCCTCTTGCATGTCGTTGAGACCTTTTTGCGTCTCTGTTTGCTCCTTTTGCATCCCTTTAAAGCCGTCTTGCATCACTTTGTAGTTGTTTTGCATCACTTTGTAGTTGTATTGCATCTCTTCATAGATGCATCTGGTTTTTGTCACTGTTCGTTTAATAATTCCTTCTGTATAACTTTATATAGCAGCATAAAATACACAAGTACGATGATAAAATGCAACATAAATACACTATACTCTGCTTTAAATCTCCCCCCACCCCAAAAAAACACTTTTTTGTATTTAAATGAAGCCTTTCATACACATGTTTCATACTGTTAATAATTAATTTCATGTGCATTATTTTATCCTCATGTTTCTCCAAATTAAAGCCTGAGGCTGCACGAACTTCCTCTACAGCTGCAGACATGCTGTGAGTGTACACAAGTACACTGAGTACTAACAGCTGTAGAATACTGCGTGTGTGTACAATGTATACGTGCAGATGTCTGAAGTGAATGTTTTTCTTTGGGTTTTTTACACTAAATACATGTTTGTCCTCTTTGTGATTTTAGTGATTTGCAGGAAATGCAGAAAGTCTTCCAACATGAGTCAGACATTTGGCTTCAGGAGTCCGGGTTGTTGTAGACGCGCACGTGGCAGCAGCACATGCGTCTCTGATTATCTTCATCTGACGTTTTCACTTACATTCGTTCACTTCCACGCACGGATCCGTGCCTTGTGGTTCCGTAGCAGCGAGTCTAAACAGTTCAGACGTGTTTATTTACCGTGTTGGAGACGCTGCTGGGACGAGTTCAGCTTTCATTAGGACGGAAGACATGGAGCACTTATTGATGTGTCTGTACGTGATGTGGATGAGAGACTGGGATCACAGAGGACCCACCTATAGGAGCACACTCCTCGGTGGTTTAGTGCCTCCTCCCGCCTCTTTTTTGGTCATCTTGCGCCGTTTGCACAGCAAACCCGCAGTTGTCCGGCGAGCGGAGCGCAAATCGAAAGCTTTTTTTTCTCTACTTATCAAACGGGAGAAGGGGAATAACTACAGTTTGCGCCACTTTCGCACCGTTTCTCCAAACTCTCAATGGGACCCGAAGACTGAAGCCAGCCTACATCTCTTAACCCCGGCCACCAGCCATGGAGTGTTGCTCATTTGGCTCGGAGCGCATGCTGTTCTCTGGATATTTACGCATCGCGCTGCTGTGGGTCGTGCAATTAGGAGCGTTCGCGCAACGTGGTAAGTGGAAAGCAAACTTGCTATGGCTTAATTTATGGCTTAAAACAAAAGGAAAAAAACTTATGATTTTCAAATGGTTCAGCTGCCATGAAGACACAAAACTACTTTTCATCTTCATGATCAGGGACATGAAGTAGATGGAGATGTCTAAAGCAACCCAGAGTCTCTGCTTCAAATCGTTATTTCCTAAAATAAAAAGAAGACATTACCTGTTAGAAGCAGCAGGTGCAGAGCTGCATGACTTGGCCCGTGAGGCTGCATTCCTGTCACTCAGCAGCTCCAGAGGTTAGATGGACCTTCAGAAAGAAGAGATGAGAGCAAGTCAGGCAGAGGACAAAGGTAACATTACTGAGACAGAAGAAAAACTCAAAGGTGCTTCAGCTGAATGAAACTCAATGTTTGTAAAATCTTAACTTTGAAAAGTAAATGTTTCTTAACTCATGCAGCAGTGTTTTGTGCTCGTGACCAGGGAATCTTTTGGAGATGATTTGATAATGCAACAAAGAAGTTGCTAAAAAGGGGAGATGAAGTTCTCTTTTTAAAATATTATTCACCACATTGAACTCGATTTATTAGGAATTCCGAAAGAAAAAGTGCAGTATATACAAAATGAAAGGAAATAAAGCAACATCAGTTCTCATAAACATGCAGCATGTCATCGAAACATAAATATAATCCAGTAAATTTATCTCCCATCATGCCTTTCTCTGGCTGATAACCTTTGTTTGACCTGAACATATAGCTGCTGTCTCGGTCAGTCAAACATGCCACCCTGTCTTCCATCTTGCTCATGTCTTTGTCTCCGGGGCGTCCAGCGACACATCAAAGCTCTGCGGTCGTAAACTTTGAGGCAGGCCATCGTAAAAGGAAACTCTGTGGGTCCTCGCACAGCTTTGCTACAAGAAAGACATTTGTGTTCCAAAATAAAGTCTACTGACACTCCTGTACCTCCGGGGGACACATTTCAAACAGTTTGAGTGTGAGATCTTTTAGTGTTGGTCAATCAGCCGCGAGCATGTTGGATATTCCAATGTCTTACAGTTGTATCTCTTTCTCCTCTTCTGCAGAGTTTAGTTTGAGACATTTTACTGCTTTCCCACCTCGTCAAGAATACAAAGAAAAGTTATGAAGCCGTCAGGAGCTTCATCCTAAAATCTTTAGTGATCGTGCTTTAAAAATCCTCCAAACCCTCCAAAGTACGAGCGTGTTAAGTGTTTCCTAACTGCTTTGATAATTAGTGATAATGAGTCGGTCTGACTGTTTGTTTCCGTGGTGAGTGACAGGCCGTCTGGGGGTTAAAGACCCGTGGCCTCAGTTGTGTTAACGCCACGCTCTTTCAAATTAATCTTATTTCCTGAGAACCTGCAGAAGTCCCTGCACATCTGGGCTGCTGAGGGCCTCCCTCCCAGTGGGGACCCCCCCTCCCCTCCTGGGGGCCACTTCATTAGCTCACCGCCCCCTCCCCTTCGGCTCTGTAAGCTCATTAAGCCGCCAAGTGGACCAGTTTAGCCAGCAGCCAAAGCCTCGCCGATTGTCCTCCTGCCTGGAAAACCTGGATGTTTGGACAACCTGTGACCCGGAGTCTTGTCGGTGGAGCTTCCAGACGAGGCAAACACGCAGACATGAGGCGACGTAAACAAGAGATTTTGCTTTCAAGGGGCCTGTCAACGTGAAGACCAGCCTGTAAGACCTTGTTTGGGTTTGGGATCACCAGCAGTAACTCTGCCCAGTCCATTCAAGGCTCTGACGGTCTGAAAACACCCTAAATACCCCGACTGTTTGTTTTCCCCGATGTGGCTTTGCTCAGCCGCTACAATCAAACTCAAACGGGAAAGTAGAAAGAGCAGCCCGCTTGTTTTTTTTGTTTCGCTTTGTTAAGAAAAGCCTCCGTTGACGACTTTGACCCTTTTCACTTGACAGATGTGGAGCTTTTGAGTGTGCTAGTATGGAAAACTACATGTTCTGCTCAAATAAATTCAGCCTGCAGCTGCAGAGGCCAGTCAAGTGTCATTGGCTTGATCGTCCTTTCCCGGGGGGGGCGAGTTTAGAGAGGCGAGAGGCTCACAGGAATGTCTGTTATTCTTAGCAATTTAGATAACCTTCGGGGGTGAAATGATCCTTCCTGCTCATCTCCTCAATGCCCACTGACAGTTTTAAGGAGCAAATGTGCCAACACTTCTTGTCATGTCGTCTGATAATAGAGTTCCTCGGGAATAAATCACTAATGTATGACAGGTATATAGAAACTCAAAATGTAGCTTGTTAAAATAGGCTCAATTACAACCTTTATCCAGGCACTCAAGAGCACAGCTGTGCTAGACCTTATGTCGGAGGTTTAGGACGATCTGTTGGTAGTATTGCGTCCCTTTTTAATGGTAATCTGTCTCTTTGTAGACAGGTGGTGTCTCTGCGTGGTCGTATTCTCTCTTTTATGTAGTTTTGCGTCTCTTTGTAGATGTTTTGTGTCTCTTCGTGGTCGTATTCTGCGTCTCTTGGTTGTCTTTCTGTCTTGGTCATTTCATGTCTCGTGGTAGTTCTGTGTCTCTTTTTTGGGTATTGTCATCAATTTGTGATTTTCCAACAGCAGGATTGAGCAGCTGAGTGTTTTTGTTTTCCCAAGGATCCATTTTGAAGGTGCAGGAAAGTTGACCATAAAAAAAGATTGTTTTGTCAAATTACGAATCCCAAGGCCAAGAATAAAGGTCCACACCCTTCATATGAAGCCTTTTGCCTCCAGTGTACTGAGAGAGAAAACTCAGTTAAGCCGAGGACAGTCTGACTCAGTCCTGCCGTTTGTGATAAAGATAGACGAAACGTCGTGGGAAACAAAAGTCTAAGATAAGACATGACTCCAGGGTAAACCTGCTGAGGTTCTCCAGTTTTCATTTCCTCTTCATTAAACTACATCCAGAAAGATGTTTTTTTAACCAACTTCAACACACATAACATCTGCTAAATCAGTGTGTAATTCCCACCATCCTTGCTCTCAGCTCCGGAGTGTTACCCGGGAGGTCATCGGACTTTGCGTAATCCCTATCGCAGTGTCGACTTCGACTCCACGGAGATCCAGGACACGGCCATCCAGGACCTGATCTGTGACCACTCGCTGTCTCCGGGCTGGTACAGATTCAGGATCAACAACAAGCCGGCGGAGATGCCGACCACCTGTGTTGAGGTAAGAGGCCAAACAAAAATGGCAGATGAGCTCTGCCAAAGAAGTCGTTCACATAAAACCACCTGCCTGCACTAACATCACCCAGCAGGTCGGGTTAATAAGCCCCTTCAGCTCAGGTGGAGAGTTTAATGACCCCCTCGCTGCAGGTAATGACTGTTTCTGTTGACGCCCCCCCCCCCCCCTGCAGATGAACCGCTGTGGTACACAAGCTCCGGTGTGGCTCTCTCTGAAGGACTCCCCCCTGCCGCGGCCCGGCGAGGTCCGCCAACTCTCTGCCTGCGCCACCTGGCAGTTCTTCCACGGCAGCACCAAGGACTGCTGCCTCTTCCGCATCCCCATCACGGTGCGGAACTGCGGCGAGTTCCTGGTCTACCGGCTGCAGCCCACACAGGGGTGCATGGGATACTGCGCTAAAGGTGAACATGCTGAGAGGGTCCACGAGTCCACTCCAGGAGAGTCTGAGCTGGCCTTAACATGTTCTCAAAGTGCTTTGTGCCATTAGGAACCACTTCCTGACGTTTTAGTTTTGAGGCCGATAACTATATTTAGAATTGAGATTTTTTTAAAAACTGATAACGATATACCAGCCAATGTTCGTGCACCTTAATAATGAGAAAAACATCTGATGTTTCAGTTACTCCAGATGTGGGACCCAGACTCTGCCCGCCAGGTGAGGTAGAAGTCAACGGCCGATGCAAAGGTGAGAGTCTGAGAATGTTGGCTTCTGCTTAAACCACATATTCTCTTTTGATCTTACTGTAGTATGAAGAATTTTATATTTCATTTACTGGAGAGTTGTACCGTTAAGTTAGTTTCCAGCTCTAAGCAGATTATAATACAGAATAATGCCAAATTTCTTTTAAATCAAAGCTAATTTTTCAATAGAAATGCAATAATTTATTCAAAATTACGCGTTTTTTTGCAAATAACTTCGATAGATGAGAATAACATTTAGAATTTTTGATGGTTTACACCGACTTACGATACGCAAAATCAGAAAAAAAATGGTCTAATTTATTGGAGAAGCAAGTTTTTACCATGTAAAGTGCCTTTGAGTACCTTATTTTAAAGTGCTACACAAATAAAATAAAATGTATTAAGTCAAATCCTCATCAGGGTTGTTTCGGGTAACTGCTGTCCGGGTTTTCAGCTGCCGTCCCGTCCTTGCCGTTCCGGCCCGTTATCACCCCGGAGCTCATCGGCCACAGTGTCCACCTGAGGTGCTCTTTCATCCCGCCGCCGTGGAACCAGCCACTGGGCTTCCAGGTGGTCTGGGCCAGACACATCGGCCAAAGCATGAAGGCTGAGATCAGGCAGGAATCCACACTGAATTCCTTCTCTGTGGTGGAGATGGATGGCGTCCACTTCAGGCTCGGAGAAACGGTAATTCCTGCCAGACCGCGCTGAGAGTTTTCTGAGAGCACGTGTGTGTGTGTGTGTGTGTGAGAGAGAGAGGGTTTGACCCCTGAAAGTGGGGAACGAAAGCTGCGGATCATGCTGACCTCTTTCTGCCTGGGTTCATCCTTAAAAGCAACGGCAGAGAGGCGTGTGTCATATCCAGTTAGAAGGAAAGAGGAGGGTGGGGAAGTTAAATCAGTTGCAGGCTGTGAAAGCCTCGCTCCACATGCTTCACATTTAATCTGTGAGTTCTGGGGTCAGTTATGTGAACACGGACAAATGCACACATATACAATAAAGCTGCTTCTTTACACTGTTTTCTTCGGCAACTTGCACAACAGAGTTGCCATTTTCTTTTAAACTTAACGGCACAGATTTAATGCTAACATGTTCAGTTCCAGTTCCCTGCCTTCAGACGGGAAGTTGGAAGATTTGGGAGGTTGGAGCGTCGGCTCTTCTGCAAGAAGACAAAGCACAGAAAAGGCAAAGCAGACTCATGGTGGCGTTTGAATACAGACTTCAGAGCAGTTACTGCAAGTCCTTTGAGGTCTGCTTCGTGCATCAAGACCATAAGTCATATTTAGATGAGACCAGGAAACTCAACCTACAAGAGAAAATGGAGTGATCGCTCATGAAACGAGGAACAAATCGGAATCAGTCGTTTGCTTGCTCCTTAGTTTCTCTCTTACAGCTGAATTTCTTTTCTGCATTGGGCGTAATAATTGTTATAATTAAACGTCTGCTTTGTTATAATTAAACGTCTGCTGCACAGCCTCAGAAGCCAGAGGCTGCCGACGGCTCTCGTTTCCTGGAGGAATTATCTCTTGCCAGGAAACATTAAGTTATTCGATTTCCAACGTGATGCTGTGTGAAAGCGAGGCGATGCCCCTCGATACAGCTGTGGACCATTGTGCTCGTCGTCCATGTTTGGGTTGTGTTAGTCGTGTTGCAGAGGGCTGGGCTCGCTCAGAGCCTTTCTTTAGCACATGTTGATGTCGCAGCTGAGTTGGGTCAAGGGTCAGATTCATTTTTCTTCTCAAACCATGAGAGTGAGTTAAATGTTAGTGGCGAAATGCTTTGATACTTTTTTAGTTTATTTAAATGTTTAAAAATCAATTTTGAGTTTCACAACACAACCCTGATAGAAGGATTAAAACTCTACTGTAACTTCTCTTTACGTGTTATTTTATGGATTAACGGTGATGTATTTCTTGCAGTTGTCCTGCAGCGTGTCAACTTTCAGAGCCAACTCCAGCCACAGCAGGTCTCCTCCAAAAGAAAGCGAGGGTTTCTACGCTGGACTGAAGGTAAAGGTGAAGCATTTGAGAGCCACTGTAGAAAAAGCCAGGTCAAACTCACCAAAGCCTCTTTGTTCCCTCTTTCTCTTCAGTTTTCTCCAGACTCGCTCCACATAGCAGAGAACAGCAAAGAGCACGAGGTGACCGTGCACAGCACAGTGCCCATCCCCTGCTACGGCGCCGACCACGGTCGCCAGTGTGGAGTCCCTCTGGCTCTGAGTGTCCACGAGCCAGGTCAGACCTGCAGGAAAACAGGAAGAGTGTTTGAGTTAACTGCTAGCTAAACATCTTGTTAAGTTGTTTGGAGACAAAATCCTAATGTTGGCAACAGGATGAGCCTGCAGCAACCACCACAGCTGACCAAACATACTATTCTGTTAGCCTTAAAATCCCTTTATTCGTATAATTATTTGTAAATTCGTGCAGAAAACTCTGCACACTTGTTTTGTGGTTCCTCATCTGTTGTGCTCCGACTTGCCCCGTACATCATCACATGAAAGCCAGCTCAGGAAGACATAACGGTTCTGCAGGCAGCTGTGTGCCATCCGTTAACACCAACTCACTGCTGTGTTGACATCCACAGACGGTCTTGAACACGAGGCACCAAATGTGGCGCTGTCCGCCTGCCAGGTAGAGCTCCAGCCCAACGCCTGTAGAGAAGGCAGCTGTGGCCGGGCAGCAGTTTTCGTCACCGCTGTCACAGACTTTACGCGGGACGGGAATCGTCCGAGTCTGATCGGCGTTTTGCCCGGACCCAGCGCACCGCGACTCTGGAGAAGCTACGTCCCGACGTCTCTGAAAGTGAGTTAACAGGAATTTCCTTCCACGTTCAAAGATGATTCAAAGATTCTGCGTGGAGTGAGAGTATGTAATTATCATCTAGATCACATTTATGGTGATTCAAAGTATTTTTTATATAAAACCACAATGCAGACGTTCCAGGGATTAGTGAACATTTGTAGCCAAAGCTCTTCAGTGGCCCTTATGGTCCTGTGGTATGCAAACTGCATATTACTTGGTCCTTACAGGGGTTCCTGGACTCCTTGAGGATGCCCAAGGGGTCTTTGAGGAGGTTCCAGGGGCCCCTTGGGTATTCCAAGGGGGCCTAGAGGGAATTTCTTAAGAGGGCACCAAAACTAAATGAAGAAAACAGCAGAGTCATATAATTATCCAAGTATTACTTTAATGAGAAAGACGGCTGTAATTACAGGTCGCTCTGTGAAACTGTTTATGTATACACACAGTTATACAGTGCTTTATGAAGATGGAGGGGTCAGGGGGGGTTGTGCCTGTTTGATGGGTTGACATCATGTTTAAAGAGCGCTGCTCTGCGTAGCCGTTACTTGCGTCCACACAAGCTGTAGCGTTACGCAAGACATGATGTCAGCCCTCCAGACAGCGCGTCTCTGAAGGGAGTTTTCCCATCTGTGTTTGGTGAAAACATCAAAGCCCAAGGTCAGAGGGTCACAGGGTGGAGGCCCCCCCCACCTCATCTTTGCTCTCCTAACCTCCCCCCAGGTCACGGTCCAGGACGTTCCTACTTCCATCTGCTACTCTCTGACTGACCCACATGTCATTACTCTGGACGGCAGGTAATTTACCTCTTGAATTGGTTATTCGCAGGCGTTAAAGAGAAGTTAAAGTTTGGCCCAGTAAAACATCTGTACGTCCTTCTGTGCAGGCGTTATGAAAACCACCAGACTGGCACCTTTGTCCTCTACCGGAGCCTCGTCAGGGAGTTTGAGGTCCACTCTCGCCAGTGGGACTGTGGCAGCCGTCACTACGCCGTCGCCTGCAACTGCGGCGTTGCGGCTCGAGAGGGGAACGATCTCGCCGTCTTTGACATGTGCAACGGCCAGCCGCAGGAGACGAGGCCGCAGCTTACCCTGAGGACCCTCGGTGACAGGGAGGGCAGTCGAGTCAGGGTGCTGGAGTCCCACCAGGGGAAGAAGGTCACCGTAGGTATCCCAACATTTTGACACTGGTGCAGATTCATTTGGAAAATCTTCACACGCTATTTTGATTCCCGGGAAACATCATCGGCTGTGTTCATGCTTGAACCGTCAAGAATTGAATCAAGAATGCGCAGCTATTCCAGTTTAAATGTTTACTTTTTCTTGCATGAGGAGATTATTGTTAATGACGCTGTTGGATGTGACTCTCCTCTCGTAGTTGATCTTTCCCTCCGGGGCCTTTGTTAGGGCCGATGTTGGCGATTGGGGGATGAGCCTGTCCATACAGGTGCCCAGCGTTGACTACAGCAACACGCAAGGCCTCTGCGGCACCTTCGACCACAACGGCAACAACGACTTCCACGGCTCGGACGGGGGCTCCTATGGCCCCGATGACCTGCATCGCTTCATAGAGGACTGGAGGTCAGTCTGGGACAAATACAAATGATTGTTATTCAACTTTAGCTTTGTTAGGACCTGATTTGGCTGAAATGGGAGATTCTACACAGAGCTGTTTCTTTCTTTCTTTGCGTGTGGGCTAGGATTGCTCCCGGCGAGAGTTTGTTTGACAGGACACCTCCCGGGACGATTGAAGAGGTCAGGAGGCCTTTCTGTCAGTGCCAGAAAGGATACAGCGCATCTCATCATGCCGGCAGAGCGATGAGGAACTTGTACAATCCATCCGCCCACTCCAACTGCATAGCACACGATAATGTGGATTACACATCTGTGTTTCCCTCTATGGACACAACAGTGGAATACATCGAGAGTCCGGAGACGGAGGAGAGCATCCTGGATATGTCCGCCTTTAACGCTCATCCTCTGGAGAGGAGACACCTTCGGTTTCACGCCGAGCACCATCAAAACGGTGATCTTGAACTGGACGGTGAGTTCAGGGAGGATCTTCTGCTTTCCACTGGCAGGCCGAGGAGACAGACGTCATTTGGATTCGAGCCCGTCTTCGCTGCTCAGAGCCTCAGCCAGGCGGATCTGGAGAACTTTGCCTACTTCTTCCCTGAGGATCACCTGGCAGAAGCCCGGCCGGAGGTGCAACCACAGTGGCCAACGCCGAGCGGCCTGACCTCGGCCAAAGCTCTCGAGGTGTGTCAGATGGCTTTGGCCAACTCCACTGTTGGTGCAGTGTGCCGGGGGCTGCTGGGACACCGCCTGGAGGAGGCAGTGGATCTCTGCATTCTGGACCTGCAGCTCAAAGACGACCTGGGCTGGGAGGAGGCACTGCTGCCCTACCTGGAGAATGAGTGTGAGAGGAGGCTGTTGGAAAACCGGACCCAGAGAGCCTTGGAGGTGGCCGGTCCTCTGGGAACGGCCAGGGAGGTGGTGACAGCTCTGCGATGCCCCAATTTTTGCAATGGTAACGGAGAGTGTACAGAGTGGGGCTGCCAGTGCTTTCCCAGCCACAGCTTCTACGACTGCAGCCTCGCCATCAGTGAGTATCCGGAGGCGGCTGCTCCAATCCTTAATGGGTTTAGCAGGTTGATTATTATGTTTTTACCAAGCAGACTTCTGCAGAAAAAAAGCATTTCTCTGCTGATGTCTCTGCTGAACTAATGTTCTCTCTTTCCGTTGATCAATAATCTCTCCTCTGACAGGCCAGCCAGTAGAGCTAACAGATTTGGAGAACAGTGGACTGTGTGACATCCGAGCCGTCAACTGTCGCAGCGTCCGAGTCTTCGGCCTCGGCTTCATCGACTCTCCCGACCTCAGCTGCTATGCCAACAGACTGAAGGTGAGGAAAAGCTAAGGTCAAAAGGTTTCTTTTTCCCAAAAAATATTTCCTCTGAGTTGTGTTGATCTGCCTCCACAGTACATGAACGGAGTTTGGGTTCAAGGGGAGAAACAGAGAACCAAAGCCACCTTCCTCAGCTCCAAAGCTCTAGACTGTGCTGTTCCATCTCTGAGCAACACAGCCGTCAACACAGAGGACTTCATGATGGACGACAAACCATACGCACGCTGGGAGATTAAAGTAACGTCTCTCGTTTGTTGGTTGTTGGCTGTTTTGTTTTAAGCCCCCCCCCCCATCCCATGTCAGCTCCTCTCTTTCCTGTTGCAGGTCACCAATGATGGCTCCCAGTACAGCCAGGCCATGGTGCTGACCATCTACGATGGCGTTTGCCAGGTCTGCGAGGCATCGCGCTCAGGACTCTGTAAGTTAAAGGTAACTCGCATACAAAAAGAAATACGTGTTTTTCCTCCTCCACACTGACGGCTCCAAACAACATTAGATTAATCACTGTGCCTCGAGTAAAAACTGTTAAAAACTAACAAATTGTTAGTAGGTAAGTCAGATCTTTGACCAACCTTTTTTAGGGAGGAAAGTCATCATTCACATGACAATTCAACACAGGAAAACTTGGACTCTCTGGTGTTTCAGACTCTAGATTTAGGAGACAGATGTGATTCAGTGGGTTTTTATATGTTATGAATAACTAAACCAGAGACAGTGTGGTTTCCGTTGCTCCAAACACGCAGCAGCTGGCTCTTTAAAAGCCCAACAAAGGTACAGAGGTTCCTGTTGTTTATGGGAAAGGAGGCAGAATAACATGTAACCTTGCAAACAACCTGGAGTGAACACATGCCACTGCAGACAGACACCAAGAGATATTTCTTGCCAAACTCAACTAAATTGAAGTAGCTTGAGCAGCGATGATGTATATCTAAAGGTGGATTTCCTGTTATGTACCTGGCATCTCCAAAGAAAAAAAAAATAGGTTTTACAATTTCTGGAAGCTGCATCAACATGTCAGCATTTTAAAAGATTGTAAATATGACAAACCTTTGTCTGTGGTTGCCAGGAGAGGACGTGTAACATCGACGGGATGTGTTTTGCAGAGGGAGTCTCCAGTCCCAGCAGCCCTTGCCTCCTCTGCGACCCGGACACCTCCAAATTCAGCTGGTCTGTGAATCAAGGTACAAACAACTTATCTTAGAAATAAAAAACTTTTTTCCCCCCCATACATCATCAAAATTACCAGAGATAATCTGCTTGGACACGGTCAACATTTCAGTCACATATATCAGGCAAAAAGCAGACATCGTCATAAACAAAGTACACACAAATGGCCATAAATATGTGGACAATGTATTCCTACTCCACAATCCTTCAATTGAAGATATTCTACAAGATTCCTGCTCCTAAAAAAACATGTTGAGCAATCATCAATAAGTAGATTCTGTAATGACAAAGAAGACCAGATGCATTTGTTTTTATTTTGTCCACATGTTGCAAGTTCATGGAGCAATACCCAAAATTAGCCACTCAGCATTTATTTAATATTTACACATTTAAACTTTATGTTTGGGGTCCTGGTAAGTAAACATCCAAAACTCTTTTGGTAAAGTTTTATTGTCATGTTTATGTGTATTCTTTGCCTGTGTTGAGTAAAGATAATACAATTGTTAATGCTCCACCAGCAGTGATTATTTTTTAGACAACATTGTTCCTCCAGGACGTGTTTTCGACTCAGCTTGCAGCCCACTAATGATGACTAACAGGAAGAACAGTATTTATCTTTCTGTTACCGCTTTGGTCATGTTTGTCCCCATTAGCGGATCAAAGGAGCGGAGGTTTAGGTTTCCCAGCATGCCCTGACCTGTCGCTTAACCAGCCTGAGACGAGGGGGGGGGGGGAAATCACACGGTTGATCACCACAGCTACACAGACTGACACTCAACAAACCCATCAGTTGGAATAGTGTAATACTGCATCCAGCCTTCAGGCCTGAGTTTACTCAGTGGGTTGAAATGGTTCCTCTTGATTTGATTTGTCTTGAAACATTATTATTAACGCCAAACATGTTTCTAGACTGTTAGGAATTCAGTGATAGCAATAATCGTATTAATCAGTTTCTTATCATTTGACCGTCATGCTGAGCAGGTGTTTCCTGGGATTATTTCATTCTTTTAAACATCTGTTTGGAGGGAGTGATTTCAGGAGGTGGATGATACATGATCTCACTGAGAAGAGAAAGAGGAGCTGGAAACGTGTGTTTACAATGATCCTTCTAGGGGGAACATTTTTAGCCAAACCGAGCTCTCTTGTAAGAGTTCATTTGAGGACAGGAACCAAAACACAAAGACTTGTAGACGTAACGGGAAATAAGAATAACTGACAAAAGAGCTAGTTGTGTTGTTGGTGAGTTGTGAACACTCACTTAAGTTTCTTAAGAGTTTCCTCCTCTGTCTTCAGTCAACGAGCCGCCGGCCTTCCACCAGCCTCAAAGCGACCTGCGGACATTCGGCGGGGAGAACTTTGTCTTCCAGTTTGCGGCATCGGACCCCGAGGGCTCGGCCCTCCTCTTCCAGCTGGAGGAGGGGCCTAGGGGGGCCTTCCTCTCCCCTGCCGGCCTCCTTATCTGGAGGGTCCCGTCGCTTCCTGAGGAGGAGGGACGTCAGACTTTTCACTTCACACTGTCAGACGAGTGCAACGCCCAGAGCTCCTTCACTGTAGAGGTAGAGTTGGAGAGATATAACATATTTATTGAAACTGTATTTAGCCAGGATGGTCCCCCTCTGTAGTACTTTTGGTATAAGTGTCTAACGACTGTCTCGGTGCTTAGTAACTCTCTAGAAGTGTCCAATACTGATTGTTAGATATTATTTCAATAAAAACAGGACCTACCTGAGCCGTCTCTCTGTTCCACCTGTAATACAGATGGACGTGGTGACGTGTGGGTGTCAGAACGGAGGGACGTGTGTGACGGACGTTCATTTCCCTGCTGGAAGCGGGAAGCACCTGTGTGTATGTCCCGAGGGGAAGCAGGGCGACGTCTGCGACCAGGATGTTGAGGAATGCCGGTCGGCTCCGTGCGCAGCCGGCAACTGCATCACCACCGCCGGCGGGTACAGATGCGAGTGTCCTGCAGGGTTGAAAGGTGAGATGTTAGTAAAAGTCGTTAAAAGTGGCATCACATGTTTGAAGAGGATCAGTTTATGATCGTGGAAACATCTTACCGTGTGTTCGGCAGGTGTCACATGCCTGGACGATGTCAACGAGTGTGAGAGGAAGCCGTGTTTCCAAGGAGTCCCGTGCTTCAACAGCTTTGGCTCCTATAGCTGCGGCTCGTGCACCAAAGGCATGCTGGGAAATGGGACAATATGCACAGGTAAGAATGAGCATAAAGAGAATACGTTTCAGGTGTTTAAAAGGACAGCAGCTAAAACAAAATTCACCGTTAAACAGCAGCAGTTGTGTGCATAAAAAACAATATACTGTATCCTGTCAAAGTACCCTTGAGCAAGGCACTGAATCATTACATGTTTTAAAAGATATTCAGTTACAGGTTTGCAAAATCATCTGTTGGCTAAAGAGCATAGTTTGATCGTTAGATGTGAATAAAATGAGAACTGAACAGATGCATTTTTAAATAAGTGAGATATTTCACTCAGTTTTAACGAACATTTTTCTTAATAAATTGCAAAAAACATTATTTAAAACTACTGATAATCATTTTTACATAAGATTTTAAAGTGCACACATACGAGACCCCTTATACATGATGACATAGCTCAGACCCTCAAACCTGGATCTCATCAGCCGGCGTAACATGAGTTCATCAGATGCTGCTGTTCTTTGAAATGCTGCAACCATTCTGAAGTCGTTCTAAGGTCTTGCAAAATGTAAAAAGTAAAATCTTTTTCTATGGGACAATTTGCATGCAAATATTTCAAGCGGTTGTACAATCACTTTGGATAAGAGCATCTGCTAACTGTCCAGAACGTGACGGTGCATTTGTTCATCGCGGGGTTAAAGTACTTGTGTTGAATGGAAACCAGATGGCAGCTGATACGCTTTGAGTTGAGGTCACTGCTTACTGTTGAGTTAATGCTTTGAAAACACTGCCGCTGTGGGAGAAACGCTGCTTCCAGCTCATGTTTGTGTACATGCATGTGTACGGATGACAGTTAACTCATCACCAATAGTTGTAAAGGTATTTATAAAGCTGAACACCTCCCAGCAGCTAAGAATCTGTGGAGATGTCAAGTTGTTGTCCTTTGAGTAAATCAGAGGTGTATGTTGCAAGACATTACCGTCTTTAAAAAAGCAAAGCATTCGGCATAAATTCCTGTCAGTGATGTATTGTTTGTCTTTTTTTAGTAGACTCATGAGGACAGATCCTTGGATGTCCTCATCCCCTTTTGTTTAACTGCTTACTCATCAGTCCTCTGATCTTCTGCAGACTTTGGTTTGACTCATTTCACCTCGTTTATTCAGTTCAGCGCAAAACAGGCATAACTTCATGTGTCTGTTCAGGGTGAGAAAAGAAGTCAACTCAGCTCTGAAAAAGTTCAGATGAGGAAAGTCGAGTCACAAGATGTCGGAGAAGTGGATTCAAAAGTCTCGTGATGTAATCTGTAAACAAGAAATGTTGGCCGAGCGAACGCAGGACGAATCAGAGTCAGGTTTGCTTGACTTGCTGCCAATCACCGAGTGTTTCCTGCTCCGCTCGTGGCTTGCAAATGTGTTAATAGGCTGTGACTGGCGCTCATGCCTCGTTGAGATCTTTACACAAACTCCTTCCAAAGTCTGGTCTCTTGCTGAGCGTCTGTCTTTCTAAGAGAACAACCTTTTGACCCTTCCAGGCTACAGTATATTCTTCAATCCTTCACCTCCTTTGCTGTTGGTTCATTGCAATGTGGATGGGGGCATCAGATAAAGTGTTTATTTGGCAGTACAAAATATAATCTGTTCTTCTTCATACAGCAGTCGTCCCCGTCTCTACCACATCTGCTCCTCGTACCACGGTCTACAAGACACCACATGTTCTGCTGCAACCACCCGAAATAAAGACAGACACTTTCCGGAAGACCTCAAGTGGCTCACCGCAGACAAGGGCTGAGGCGGGGGAGACCATTCCAAGGACTGACCCCAACCGGTCCCGAAGTAAGACCACCGCTCTGAGACGCATTCCAGGGATGAGCCTGAACCCAGCGTTCACTAAGCCGGAAAGTAACATAAGCATCACGGCAGGTACACCAATCGTTTCCCAAATAAAGAATGATGCTTTGAGAGAAAGCCAAGGAATTAAACTCAACCCATCCACCACCAACGCAGACACTTTCAAGAACATCTCAGGAGTTGGCAACACTATTGCAAAGACATCCACTCCCGCCCAGCCGTCAGGAAGTGGCAGACCAGCTTCAGGTACGGCTTCCAACAATGTCTACCAATTTAAAAAGTTAATGGTTTGTAGTGGACTCTACTGAGCTAACTTAACGGCATTTAAAAACTTACTAAAGGATGCTTAGGAGGACCTATTAGGGCCGTTGATCCAGCTCATATAGAGCACTGACCACAGTTTGTGTCTCTCAGGATCTGGTCAGTCTCCGGCTGTGAATGTGTCGGCTACGTGTGCCAGCAGGCCCTGCTTCCCCGGCGTTCAATGCATCAACCGCAGGCCGCCACATGTCGGATACGTCTGCGCCCGTTGCCCGCCCGGCCTTTACGGCAACGGACGCGTCTGCATCAAGAACGCCAAGGAAGGTAACGTCCGTCTGAACATTTCATTTAGCAAATAGACCTGCAGCTCTGACTCCTACTTGTGATCTCTATTGGCATAATAATAACAGAATGCAAGCATGGATATCAACATACAGGATTAAATACAAAGGATCCAGATGAAAACATCTGTCAGTAATGGGAAATCCCTCCAAACATTGTGGGCTACTGTTATTTAGTTCTGGTTCCCCTGATGTTTTATGTGGTTTTTTGGTTGGAATGAATGTCATTTATTGCAGCTGATGAATCACTTTAAGTGGTTGGAGACTGCCTGGATGTAATAACCATATTTTGGTGCTTTGATTCAGGGATCAGCTCCCGGCCGCAAAGTTTGAACAGGAGAAGTTATTTTCTAACAAGGGGAGTGGGGGGGGAGGGGTCCTGATACTGATACTCCTTTACTGTGGTCCTGAACCCTGCTGTCTTTCCTCAGCATCCAATCACCTTCCTCAGCAGCAGACGCTCGGCAAGACCATCCGATCCCCGCAGGGAAGCAGCAGCAAAGTCTCTCAGCTCCACTTGCCCAACCTACCCAGCAGGCACGGCATCAAACACCTGTCCTGGGCTGTCACCAGAGAGAACCGAGACAACGTGCCACGCAAGGTTCCCACTTCAGGGAGGGGGGGCGGGACCGGGAGGAGAGAGGCGATCACTGTCTCCAGAGATGTCCCTAGAACGTCGATCGGTGCCCTCCACGTCACTGCAAACACCCACAACACCCGCCACAGTACCAACCTCAGGACGTACGGCAGATCTAGGACGGCTATCTCCAGGGCATTTGTTCCTCATGTGACGTCCTCCAAGGTGAGTTTTGGTGCCATGCGTCGTCTTGATCTGTAGACATGAACGTCCTTCATTATGTGATCATCTCCCAGCAGTCTGAAGCAGCATTCACTGGTGCCACACCTGCGAAGGTAACGCCACCTGCTCCTCACCTATCCACTCAGTCTGGCAAAGGGACGCAGACCAAACAGACCCCCCAGTCTAAGCTCAACCACCTGTTGTCCACCTACGCCAAACCCTGGACCCCTCCGAGACCTGCCTTCCCTCTTACAGCGGCCCTCACCGCTCTGTCGTACTCACTCCCTGAGTCAGAGTTCTCCGCTGATGGAGATGAGGCCGAGCCTGGATATGAAGAACCGGAGACGGTCCCTGCATTGACCTTCACAACTTCGAGCAAGACGGCGTACAGCTCCCCGCTACAAAGAGCTACCTCCATCCAGGCAGCGGTGAGGAGCGGCACGACGGCGGACAAACACGTGACGACCTGCGCCGACCGGCCGTGTTTTCCCGGTGTCCCCTGTGAACCAACCACGGACGAGGGTTTCATCTGTGGGCGGTGTCCTGTAGGATACACTGGAGATGGACGAGCATGCAGAGGTACGGCTCCGTGTGCCTTCATCCCTCGTTTAATGATAAGAAAACATTAACTTTAAGGTAAACATCTGTCTGTTTATCCAGCTGTTTGCAGGCATATGTGTGGCAGGAACATGGAGTGTGCTGCGCCCAACACGTGCCGCTGCAAACCAGGCTACACCGGATTCGACTGTCAGACAGGTAAACAAATAAGTGGCTTACATAAATTATTATAGCCGTTTATGTATTCTTATATCGTCTGTTTGTGATCCACATTTTCTCAGCAATCTGTGAGCCGGACTGTATGAACGGGGGCGTTTGCGTTGCTCCGGGTGTGTGTCACTGTCTCCGAGGGTTTCATGGAGAAACCTGTCAGGAAGGTAAAGCGGTAGTGTCTCCGAGCAAAAAGAAAAAACGTCTATTAACAGCGATGCATCTTCCAATAATATCACATATGAATAGTCTTGATTTTCTTAAATTTGTTCATTCACAGTATGAATGCACTATAATAAATGACATAACGAATTAAAATGCCTCTCTGCAGCTCTGTGCAGGTCCCCATGTGAAAACGGAGGCAGCTGTGTGGGACTGCAGACTTGTTCGTGTCCTTATGGGTTTGTCGGACCTCGATGCGAGACCAGTGAGTTCACAGTTCCTTCATTTGCTTTGCTTTAAAAAACAAAAAGGCGATTTCTGTTACCAGTATGTGATGGATGATGTTTTCGTCATAGTGGTGTGCAGCCGTCACTGTCACAACGGAGGCCAGTGTGCGTCTCCAGACGAGTGCATGTGTCTTACAGGCTGGAGCGGACCGTCCTGTGAGACAGGTGGGTGGGTGTGTGTGTGTGTGTGTGTGTGTGTGTGTGTGTGTGTCCTCACCTCTGTAACGCTGACGCCGTCGTCTCCCCCCTGCAGCTCTCTGCTCTCCCATCTGCCTCAACGGAGGTTCGTGCACTCGGCCGAACATCTGCGAGTGTCCTCACGGTTTCTACGGCGCACAGTGTCAGAATGGTACGACTTCAGCCATCAATGAGTCAATAAGCAGCTCAAGCATTCATGGAGTTAATTTGAGAGGTTGTCTCGTGGTTGATTTTAGTATTTTCTTTATTGTTTTTCCTCCAGCCGTCTGCAGTCCTCCCTGTAAGAACGGCGGTCTGTGCATAAGGAACAACGTCTGCTCCTGTCTGCAGGGATACACCGGGAGGAGATGCGAGAAAAGTCAGTCTTTCTTCCTCCTCATCGTCACTTGTTTGACTAATTTATTTCCTTCTCTCACCACTGGTGCATCCTCTTATTTCTCCATCCTTCCTCACATCTTATCCTCTTCATCCTTTTCTTACTTTGCCATCATGATGTCCTTTAACCTTCCATCTCTTTATCTTTCCTTTATCAATAAGCTAAATTTGCAACATGTGATGTTGTTCTCTCTCTCTCTCTCTCTCTGCAGGTGTGTGTGAGCCCATGTGTATGAACGGCGGCAGGTGTGTCGGCCCAGATGTGTGCGATTGTCCGTCGGGTTGGCGAGGAAACAGATGTGATAGACGTAAGTGCCGTGACGCGGGAATCACGTCCCGTACAGATGTTTTTACATTGACAACACACTCCTCTTCCAGGTCTAACCTGTTAGCTCCCATGATGCATCAGTGCAAATGTCTGACGGCCTTTCCCCCAGTGTCATCCACATCAAAACCTGTTTTAGCACAAAGTTGTCCAGAAACTATCCAGCCAACAAACACACAAACTCATAAGTTGAGGTAAAAAAAAAACTAGAAAGATTAATCATAAGATCACCCAGCAGTGAAACTAATAATGAAAACATACAGACAGTTAAATAAAACAGAGAAAAACAGCAAATCAGCTGTAATTAGAGAATATTTGCTTGATAACTACGTCACTTTACTGTAAAACTCACCAAACTGAAGCAGGAACAGTCTGCTACACAAAGTTTCTGCTGACAGACGCTTCCTACAAAGACGCCTCCCGTGTGGAAACCGTGAAAACAGTTTCAGACATCAGAGGAGATGGATTAAGAGTTATCTGTTGAAGCTGTGTGTCCTCAGCCCCTCCTCTTCGTCAGGCGACAGCTCAACACCTGTGGCTCATCTAGAGGGGCTGTCCTCTATCAGGAGGCAACTGTACATCTCCACGGTGTTCCACAGCATTTGGTTTCCTTTCTACCTCTTTTGTTGTTGTTACTTCCTGTTTTACGGCTTCTCCAACGTGATTAAAATCAAACCAGCCGCTGAGCAGATCATTCAAAAAGACTGAAAAACAGAGGAACTGAAGTATTCATGCCTTACAGAAGGGAACTAGACATGTTTCATGTGTTTTTAGGAATAAAATGCCCGCTGCACATTAAGTCCTGAAGTCTGGACATTAAAAATGACACCTGTTAAAGTATAATTTCAACTTTAAACTGACCGGTTACTCTCCCTGTTTTATCTTGAACTCTTGAAGAAAAACGTTTCTCTCATCAGAGACCTTATATAGTTAAATATATCCACAGTGTGTGCGGCTTTACAAGGCCAGGTAATGTTTTTGCCCTCAAGTCAACCGAGCAGTCAAGTCCAAGTCTCCAAGTCCTCGAGTGCAGCTCTAACATGTTGATCCGTGTGTCGCCTCGTAGCCAGCTGCCTGCAGCAGTGTCTGAACGGAGGGGAGTGTGTGGGAGCCAACACCTGCCACTGCACGCTGGGCTGGCACGGCACGCTGTGTCAGATCCGTGAGTGTCCCGACGAAACAAGAAAATGATGCACTTCACGAATATCCCGCTGTTTTCCAAACTGAACGGAGACGTTTGTCTCATGACCGTGTCTGTCGTTGTGTCACTCCTCAGCTCACTGTGAACACAAGTGTCTGTACGGCAGCCGATGTGTCCGACCAAACGTCTGCGCCTGTCGGAGCGGATCTCTTTGCTCCAGAAGGGTAAGAAGGACTGATTATTTTAGTATTTAGGACTTTTCAATGACTTCTAATCTCTTAAACTCAAAAGACAAGTACAGCCTGGAAATGTTTCTGGGTTTTAAGTCTTCTAGTTTTCACTTGTTAGAAGTGACATCGAGGTCTGAAAATCTTTTAACGTGCTGAAATTGAGCCTCAAGGACTCCATAATATCCTCCTTTTTGTCATGAAAGTCAAAGAAGGAAACTACTTCTCTTTGCTACATTTTCTCTTGTTGATTTTCAGTGTGGATCTGTGTTTTCAGCTCCCTATTGGCCGAGGTTGAGACCCCCTCACAACCAAACAGACACCAAAGAGTCAGAGTTAAAGCAGCACCGATGCATCCTCCAGATGCAACGCAGCCATCAGAGCAGAGCGCCGTCACAAAGGACAGGTTCTCTCCACCGTCTCTGTGCACTCAGCAAAACAACTCAAAGCAGCGGGAGTTTAGGTTTCTACAGCTTGATAGCATGCAAAGGAATATTTAACAGCAGTTATACAACTGCACTTACTTCTGGACAAACTACTATTTATTTGTTCTCTGCTAAGCATCTGCAGTAATCTGGCTTCTTGAGTGCATATTTATGCAGAAACACTACAATACTGCCTCCGCCGTCACAGATCTAGGCTAACGGTTTCCCCCTGCTTCCAGTCTTTGTGCTAAGCTAGGCTAATGAGACAGTGACTTGTTGTAGAGCTACACATTCTGCAGACAGGAAATCATTTCACAACATTATAAAGTCTGTAACACTATACTTCTTATTGTGTACATGAAACATAAAGTTATTGATCAGGACGTTACAAGCAGCTATTATTATTGGGGAACATTTTTAAATGCTACGACACAAACCCAAACCTCTGTATGAGTATTTATTTATTTGGTTGTTTTATATTGTCGCATATTTCTTGGTGTATATATCTTAATCACTGTATTATCTGTTCTTTCTCATTAAGGCATTGTTTATTGGTTGTTTTGTAAGAAAACAAATAAATATCCTTTAAAGGTTTTCATTTCTTCAGGTTTCTAGCTGAAGTACTAATAATCTGCCTGCATTGGTTGGAAAAAGTCAGAAGACAACTTCCAGTTTGAGACTTTAAGATCAATGTTTAAAATGTTTTATAACAATTTTGTTTAGGAGATTCTTTCAGTGTGCAGAAGTTCCCTCAGGTTTTTTGGGGGGGGGGGGGGGTTTGGAGTGGGCAGCAGCAGAGAAACATTTGACTTTGCTCCAGAGTCCAGACAAATTCACGGCCAGCGGGTCGGACAGGAAACGAGGATTAAAAGATTAATGAGGCTGCGTTAGCTCCGCACCAATTAGGATTCCTCCCGTCCCGAGCACTGAAGAGCCGGCTGACTTCTTACCGCTGATGAGGACGGTTTGTTAAGACCACACGGAGCAGCCAGCAGGGTCTGCTGTTGATGTTTGTTGCCATCACTGTAATCCCTGAGAGTCTGTCTCAAAACGACAGACAGGTGAACACTTAAACCATGAAACTTCCCCCAGCTGATTACCCACAGGAAGTTTTTCTGAGAATATACAGATGCAAATATATTAAATGTGTCTTTTAGATGTTTTTCCGCTAGATGACATGTTATGGAAGTAAAATAGCCCAAAAGATAAAAGCAATGTTTTTGCCTGGATGATATATATCTGCTGAATCTGTTCCTGTTTCTAGCTTAACCCTGAAGGAAGACTTTGACATCAAGAAATGAGTCCATATCTTGTGGGGAGAAAAGAAAAAACAACCTTCTAGAACTGATCATTAGGGTTTTACTGCCCTCTGGTGGCGAAACAACAATATCAAGAACATGAACTTGAGAGAACGTCAACATGTTTCAATTTTAAGTCCATGATGTGATTGAAATTAAATAAACAACCTGAAGTGAAGGAGGCTATGAGCTTTTGCAGCAACGCACACAAGGCATCGTCCGTTCACAGATATTTATATCCACCCCCAAAGATGGCACTGGGCAAGAGGGGGGGGGGGGGGTCCATCCTGGTGGGCACACTCTGGACGGGACGTGTCCACCTGGACTGTTCACTCAATGGGAGCTTCAAGGCAGCAGTTACCCTCCATCCTGGACGCCAACAGGCAGGAAACACACAAACACACACACAGTTATTAGTTATTAAACTGTGTGAAATATTATGAAATATTTGTGATTTAATTTGTGCTGAAGGAGCACTGGCTTCACTGGAATAATTAAAGTGACTGTGTTCATTAAACGTCAGCATTTTCTGGATGAAGAAGAATACATAGTGTACAAATACTGCTTTAAGTCCTGCATTCCAAAATTTTGTATTTAGTAATTTAAAGAATAAAGTAGGTGAAAATGGAAAGTAACTCAAAATTGTTTCTTTCTGGTTTCAGAGATATAAAAATATATAAAATATTTTAATTGCAAGGTAACAAAGTATGTATATGTCTCTAAAACACGAACACGTTCTCCAGTTTTAATGTCTATTAAAAGAAAATACAAAAATCTAATTTGTAAACTTTGAATGAGGACACAACCATTTTTTATATAAAAAAATACAAATATAAAATACTGTTTTTCTAATATAATTAGTAGAATACATATTGAGTTGAGGGCAGCAGTCAGCAGAGGTCATTGCTAAAAAGATTTTATCAAATTATTATATTTTATTTTGTTCTGCTCTGGTGAAATAAGTTGAACGTTTCTGGTGCACATTTTTACATTTCTGTTTATTTAAACTGCACTTGTATTGATGAAAGAAGGTGAAGCATAACACTTACTTTATTTATTTTAAGTGTTTTAGCAAATGCATTGAAAGAGAAAAGTGTTTTGAACTATTTAACACATTTAATAAATTCCTGCATGAGGAGTTTGTTGTTTTTATGTAACACTGAATATTGGCCAAAAACAAAAATCAATATTTCTGAAGTGAAATTGGCCTTGAAGGCAGCCCCATATCAGGGGAGCCTAATTTAAACCTGCTGCTCCAGACCACAACAGGTGCCCCCTCCTCCCCTCCTCCCTTTAGGCTCCACCTGTCTTCCCTTTTCCGCAGAGGGCTGGCGACCCAGAAAGCAGCCGTCATTTATTAGCATTGGTATGCCGATGGGGGTCGGACGGCGCAAACCCCCTCGGTCACCGGATCGGCGGCAGCTGCTCGGCCACCCGGTGCTATTTTCACCCTCAGGATAAGGTGATGTGCAGCCGCCCGCGCGCACGGCCCCAGCAGCTCCAGTCCGACCAGAGCAGAGCCAGGATGAGGTCCACCGGCAGTGAGCGCAGCGCGCAGCCCGACGGCTTCGCCTCCGACCTGGACGACCTGGACACCGGCAGCGACAGCTCCGACGGGAAGTCCAGCAGAGACTGCAGCCCCCACGCGCTGGCATCGGAGGAGGCCGGAGACGGCTCCCGGAGGGGCAGACGGAGGAGGAGGCGGAGACGCGGCAGCGGCGGAGACGCGTGCGTCGCCGGTGCGAGCAAACAGAGGCAGGCGGCAAACGCGCGGGAGCGGGACAGGACGCACAGCGTGAACATGGCCTTCACGGCGCTCCGCACGCTCATCCCCACCGAGCCCGTCGACAGGAAGCTCTCCAAGATAGAGACGCTGCGCCTGGCCTCCAGCTACATCTCACACCTGGCCAACGTGCTGCTGCTCGGGGAGGACTGCCGGGACGGACAGCCGTGCCTCGGCTACCCAAGCATCCTGCACGGCGCCGCGGCGCTCAGCGCGCCCTCGCTGCGGCCCATCTGCACTTTCTGCCTCAGCAACCAGAGGAAACTGGTGAGCGGCCTCTTGCACCTGTTGCACCAGGGTGACATGGTAGTGTCTCGTGCATTGCACAATGCTCGGGGGCTGTTTTTTACGCAGCGTAATGTGCAGGCCGCATCCTCTCTATAATGGAAATAGAATTCCAGGTGGTGTTTAGGTCAAAACCAGTGGATTACTGTGGTTTGGTAAAGGTGAACATGACAGCAGATAGTTTGTAGATGAAAAAGTAGCTTTAAAAGGGATGAAAAGAAACTACAAAGCAACATGTTTATGGAAAAGTGCTGCAAATATTAAAAAATGATTCATATTTAAAGACACTGATCAGTTATATCCTCTACACACACGTGTTGTGGATTAGAAGTGTTTACAGAAGTCTGCCTGCACATCTTGCAGTTATAGACTATAATATGTTACAATTATGTAAAACTGTATTTTCACTATTACACATTTGTCTCATAAAGTCAAATCTCTTTCTGACACAAATCAACCTTGTTTCTTAGATTTAAAGTCATTGTATAACTGAGTTGTAAATAATAAGAGTAATATATTAAAGCAGACTTATATACTTTTTTACAATTGAATAAATCAATAAATAATTGAAATTGGGGGCTAAAAATCAGTGTTATTAGGATTCATCTCGTGGTGCATTCACTGTACTGTGCTTGTGGTAAAAATGACCGTCTCTTTGCCTCCACAGCTCAGAGATGGAGGGAAGCACTCGTCTGCTGTGTGAAGCGAAGCAGCAGCGGACAGACGGGGGAGTCCGCCTTCATGCTGTTTACATGTTGATGTACATATATATATACATAAAAATATATTTATTTTGGGACGAGAGAAAGAAATTAACACTGAAAAGCACTTTCTGTTCACGTCGCTGTGCCGCTGTGTTTTGGTTGAGCTGTAACCTGAGCTCATGTGTAAAGTTGCACCTTACAGGGGGGCTATTTTGATACCACAAATAGTACAAACTACCCCCCCCCACCCCAACCCCACACATCTCCTAAAAACCCACATGAAGTAAACTGAAGAGCAGCTACTGCAGCGGTTGCTGTCAGTTGAGGCTCCAAAGATGCCTTCAAGGGCCATCAGACGTATTGCGATTATTCAGGCGCACTTTAATTAAAGGAGCATCGACTGACTCTAGTGGTGGACGGCTGTAACTGCATCAACACTGACAACTCTAGACGCGATTGAATACAACGACAAAAAGCCCAAAATGTGTACATCTCCTGCAGCTTTTTAAATGTCTTTAACAACCAGCGACGGGAAGAAAAAGACAGCATGCTTATTTGTTATTTTGGATAAACTCAGGAGATTTCATAGAGCTTTATGTAAATATTAATTCATTTTATTGGACCTGATATTTACTTCTTTAAACAATCCAAATAGTTTTAAATCCTAATTATTACTGCTTGAATACAGAGGTGGAAATCAATCATCTTACAAAACCTTATAAATAACTAAAATTTCAGGTTTCAGCGACGCTTTGTTAGCCTTAAAGCTTTGCCCAATTAGGAAATCCTCAAAGTGAACGGGACACTACTTCACCTCTTTGTCTCTCAGCTGTTTCAGACATTTGCAGCGTGGTGAAATGTTTACTTTTGCATTGTTGCACACTCACTTTTGACATTTGGTAAAGTGCATCGGGTTGCCTTCTGCACTAATCTGGAGACTCTATAAACCTTCTACATGCGGGATCCCTTGATATTTATGATACAGCACATACGGATGGAAACGTTGCACACTACCTCAGACCGATGTTTTAAAAATGAAATATGAAGGCCTACCTCTAACCTAATGTGTAACATGACTGTATAAACGTGTACTTGAATACAGGACGCTTGTGTCCTTTGCACAACGCAAGTACTGAAGCTGCTTGAAGAGAAATGTATTTTTGTACAATACAAATAAAAATGAGAATAATATCAAAGCGTCTTTTTGTTTTCTGTCTGCAAAGATTCAAAATGTTTCTACTTTATGTCAACGAACACTTTAACAGCTACAGGTGATTTTAGACCGATGGCGATATAAAATAAAGAGTTCTAACAGAATTAAATGTTTAAAACTGCCGACTCATCACATTCCTACAAAGTTTAAGAAGCAACTTATGGCCAATAACAAACATTTAAAGTCATAATTATGACAACAATGAATAATAGATACATTAAAAACAGAAGAACATAGTGGAAGCATTTCAATCATTTTTATTTTCATAAAAAAAAGTCGGTTCATATCAGATTGAAGAAAGTAGAAACCAATAATAACCAGTTAGCTGGCGATGCATTGTTTCTGACACGTGGAACAGGTAAATACCCTGAAAGTCAAGAAAGAAGGCGGAGTTTAGGACCCAACTGCAGCCAAACCATGAGCCGGGCAAAAGTCAAAAAGGGGAGAAGAAGAAGTAAAAGAAAAACGTTGGTAAAAATCGCAGTTTCGTCAGCGAAAGAACGCAAAGTCCAAATCGCCGTCGTGGATCGTACGAACAGCGGCCGTCGACGTCACGTGGAATGTTTCGTATCCAAACTACAGAGGAAGTACAACAATAACACCCAAAATATAATAACGAAGGAGCGGAGTATTCATCGCTTTCTGCTTCCACTGTGAGGCACGACGACTAAACGTTTTACGAATCAGGACTTTAGAAATTTAGTTTAGTTTTCAGAGTGGTGGAAGCGCGTGCGTGTGTGTGTGTGTGTGTGTGTGTGGAAGAAGAAACAGGAGGTAAAAGGAAAAGAAGCTCCTGCTGCTATCTTTGAGAAGAAGAAAAGAGCTCGTCTGGCGTCGGAGGCTTTAGTCCGTCTCCTCTTCCTCAGACTCAGACTCTGCAGAGAGGAATCACATCAATCCTTCGTTAACGTGTTGCATTAACATCCTAATTAGTGTTCAATGTGAAGACCATGCATTTCTTAATTACATATTCCTAATTATGATTTGCATTTATGGCAAACGTACAGTTCCAGAGTGGATTTTTCTCCATGTTTTGTTTTTTAATCCCTCGTCTCTTATTAACGTACTCGAGCAAAGAATAAACTATCGAACTAGCTTTTAAATGAAATAAAGAATAATCTAATCTAAGTATTTGTAAAGTTAAAGACGTCGCAGCTCGATTAAAGCTTTACTATCTGCTGTTAAACGGCTTTATTGCATCAGGGTGTTGTTATTCATCGTCTTACCTTCCTCGGCGTTCTTCAGCCACTCCACGAACTTCTTCATCTGCTCGAGGAAGACGCTCTTCCCCTTGGCCATGTGTGTGTCGGTGTACCACTTCAGTATGGCCTCCTCGCTCAGCACGTCGGCTGTGAGGAGGAGAAAACGGCAAACATTCAACACGTTTAGTTATTAACGGTGATCCTAAAACAGAGCGGTTAGGTTATCGGGACACAGACCTTTGTAGAGGAGCACCACGATCTTCTGGAAGGCCTTCATGAAGTGGATGTTGTCGTAGCAGTACTCCTGGATCTTCAGCAGCAGGCTGAGCTCGGACAGACCTTGGGAGGTGAAGGCTTTCAGAAGAAGGCTGTATTGCTGCGGAGAGAAAGTTACAAAGCGTGTCGTCGTTCCTCCTGCTGTACTTTACAGAGTTCTGCTGCTTTCACACCTTCCGTGAGAATCACAGCAACAGTTAACTTCACACGAGCACTGAGCTCTACCACGTCAGGGTGGAACCCGCCAAAATAAAACAAGTTTCATACCGTGAAAGCTCCTCTGAAATTCAGTCACTTTATTCCTCGATTAAACATCATTGTACTCCATAAACTTTATGTGCTTTATTTATCTGTATCCAGAGCATTTCAAGGACTTCCAGGACCCCAGCGGTGTGGTTTACCTTCAAGAGTTTGATGGCTTGTTCGGTCACCAGCTCCTCCTTCTTGTTCCACTCCACGGAGCTCATCACGCTGGTCCAGATGATGCTGATCATGGCCTGCTCCGAGAGGTTGGACTTCTTCATCTCCTCTTTGGTGAAGATGATAATCTGAACCAACGGGGAGGAAAACAGCGCTGAGTTAAAGTCTCTGAATGTCACTTCAGTCAAAAAGGGGGAAATAGAAACGGACTTAAGTTATTAAAACCCACAGAGGGCCGGAGTTAAGAGCTGCCGTGTCATTTACAAACGATGCAGTTTGGGCAGCGATGACCTCGTCTGAACGCTGACAAATGTGTTAATAATGAGGAAGTTTGTAAAACACAAAACGCTGTTACCAAACAGGAACAATGACATTCACACCTTCACCAACTGAGACATTTAACACGATAATAACACTCAGAACGACACTTTAAACTGGGCTTGCAGACAAGAGGAAGTGGTCAGTTTCACCTCCTTCTGAGGGTCACCGCGGGACATCTGCTCCTGCAGCTCCTTCTGCAGCTCCTTGCGGGCGCCGATGGATTGCTGGTTGCGGGCGAAGTCGGACAGCTCCTTCAGCCCGGCGTCGGTGAAGTACTTAGAAAAATGCTCGCAGCTCCGTTTGTTGGCAGGAAAGAGCTCCTGCGGGGGCAGAGATATTTTTAGGTGAATAGTTAAAAGTAGAGGAAACCGACACAAAAATAAAACACATGTGACATTTTGTGCAGGACAGTTGCTTTACCATCAGCCTGTTGTCCATGCCGACTTTGCGGAGACTGCCAGCCACAGAGTTGATGTCCTTCTCGTGGATCCACGACTTGAAGAGCTTGACAGCGAACGCTGCAGACACTCCTAAAGAAAAACGAGACACGTCGTGTCACTCTCACTGAACACAGAGGCTCTCGTGCCGACTGCGGAGCCAGAACAAACATTTTGTGGAGGACCTAAAGAGAAGGAAGCAGTCTCCTCACCCTCCTTGACGAGGTTCTCATTGTAGAGGCTGTTAAGGATGGAGGCTGATATGTTGCCGTTGGCCAGCAGGATGCCGGTAAGCATGGCCAGCTTGTTGCGCTCGGACTCTGTGAACCCTTTTAGAAACAGCAGCAACTACAGAGCACAGAAAGACAAGACTGTTTACAACCCTGCAGGTGTGGCTTTAGCTTCAACTTTTCTCTTTTACAGCTGGAAACAATCTGCTTTATAGATTCATTAACACTTTCAAAAACAAACTACAGACACTCACCTTCTTGATCTCCTCTTCGAACCCCTTCTCCAGGTACTTGTAACGCCTGATTAGCTTGTTAAAAACCTGTTTTTTGGTGTGAAAAAGACACATAAAAGTTAATTCTGTCCTTGAACGCATGCATGAAAACAAACGTCTTGTAAAAAGGAGTCCTCGTGCTTTCTACCTGAGCATATGCTTGCATGGTGTCCAGGTCTTCTGGTGCCGTAAAGAGGCAGAACTCAGTGCGGGTCATGTCGTCGGATAGAGTCCCACCCGGGGCTGCAGGAGAGAGAGAAACCACCATATCAGCAGAAAGAAAACAGCAGCGGCATGCTTCAATAACTACATCGTATTTATATGAATATTATTCATAAGCAAAACAGTGTTAATATCTATTTATTTACAGGCAAACTCGAGACTTGAATGCACACGTAAACAACGCATCTCTTAACTCACCCAGCATGCCGCCGGCCACCAGGATGTCAAAGAGCGTCTCTGCATACCGCCGGTAGTCAAGCTTGCCACCAGTGCCATCGAGGAACTTAGCGACCGCTTCCAAATCAGAGCCACTTTGATTCAAGCCTTGTACGATACTTTCTTGAAACTGAGTAGGGTCAAATCTCTCCTTTTCATCTGTGGAGCACAGGACGCAGGTGTTGGATCAGTAAACAACAAACACGTTCCAGGAATAATACGACGACAAACACGACAAACAGCACAAACCTCTTTTCCTCGTTTTGAACCGCTGGCCAGTTAGCGTCGGCTTTTGCTGCTTTTGATTACTCATAAAAGACACTCTGAAGGACAGATGTTTAATTACAGATGTTTACACACGAGTGAACAATACACAGCGCTCCCTTCAGTTATGCCAGCTGTGGGTGTAACTTGGTTGAGCTCCATGTCATGAGATCACGACTGTAAATTATTCTTACACAAGTTTAAACGTTAAAGCCTGAAGACAAATAGAAGTATATGTAGTGTATATGCTCTTTGAAGTACTTGACAGTGCAGTATAATGTTGCATAACTTTGTACATTTAATCTTATATTCTGTTTTTAGGTTGACTTTGTAACATACAGGTGAAAAATAGCCTCTTTCTTTATTAATGTGCACTGTCCCTTAACAAATAAACCAATAAGTAAATAATATATATGACATATGTTGTACATGTGTAAAAACTACCAGTTATTATGGAATTTAATCAGCCTTCTAATGAATACATTAAATATAGTTGTAATCTATATTTAAATGTTAAATATATATTTTTTGAGACTATTTATTTTTGGGATTTTTTGGGGAATATGCAGAATATTTTATCTCCATCTTTATACAATATGGAATTTATTTTGCATTTGATTGAGTCATCAGGGCCAGATTAGAGGGTTTTAAAAATGTCCAACTCACGCGGAAATGAAGACAAAACAGACAAAAGACAGCTCGAGGTGGTACAATGGAGCTATTGTGTTTTTAGTTTAAATAAATCAAACATGCTGCAGAAATAAAACCTCCATCAGCAGTGTTTCTGTGAATCTGTGAGGGGTGGAGGACAAGATATATCATCAAGGATTCGCCACTCTACAGCTGGCTAAATGTAGCATTAGCATCGGTTAGCTCTGGGCCTCACCATGCGCCGCTTAGCCACAATGCGGCTAACGCTAAGCTAACATTCCCCCAAAAACGTTATTTTACAGTTCCCAAAACGACATTTTAGCGTCTACGCGACGAGGTTGAGCTGCGATACAGCAGCGAGAAGGTGACAATACGAGTACTCACCGAAAGTAGTGCAGATAAAAAACGATTTAACCAGGTGAATGAAACTACACTGTCGAGTCTCAGCGGCCAAAACAAAAGAGCTCTCCGTCAGGACTTCCGCAGACTCCGCCCGCTGCGCATGCGCGAGTTAAAGGGGCTTTCCGGTCCACAAAAAAACCAAAACATAAAATATATATTTTTAAATAAATATATATATATTATAAAAATATACAATAAAATATGTATATATTTCAAATACACATATATATCATAAAAAATATATAATATATTTTTTATTGTTTTTGGGAGCAAGGAAGGATAAGTAGACTGTATTTATTGTCCCGTATTTAACAAACTATATCACTGAATATTTAATTTGATCGATTTACAATGCAATTTATTTATTTTTAAATATAACTGAATTACTGTTTATCTGTATGTGTATTTTTTTATGCTTATATATTTTGAGAGTCTAATTGTATTTATTTATTGCCAATTTTAATTTAAACTGCCATCTACTAACCATGGATAAGTACCTCACACAACTATATATTTAACAAACAGTAATCCGTGTCATTGTTGGACCACAAGCCCCAATTTAACTTGAACTGTTAACGTATACTAATATCAATTTCCCAAATGTTTTCAACCAGCACTCTCTCCTAACTTCCTCCTGCCAAACGCCTGACTAACAGCACTTCCTGTCGCAGTCCATAACTGTCCATAACTGTTATGGACTGCCACATGTATTCTTATCAAGCTGCAGGTCGCCTGGTGTTCAATCGCCCCAAGTTCTCCCACACAACTTCTCTTCTCCGTTCTCTACACTGGCTCCCTCTAAGAGCTCGTATCCAGTTTAAGACTCTGGTGCTAGCCTACAGGGCAGTGAAAGGAACAGCTCCTTCCTATCTCCAGGCCACGGTCAAGCCCTACCCCCCCGCCCGACCTCTTCGCTCTGCTGCCTCGGGGCGATCGGTTGCCCCGTCGCTCAGAGGTCCCTGCGGCCGTTCGACCCGGTCGTGGCTGTTTTCTGTCCTGGCCCCTCAGTGGTGGAATGAACTCCCCACTGACGTCAGGACGGCGGAGTCGCTGCCCATCTTTCATCAGGCTGAAAACTCTCCTCTTCAAGAAGTACTACCCTGAGCCTTCCACTCACCACTTATTGTATTCGTATTAGTTTGTTGCACTTATTACATTAGTTTGTTTCTGCACTGTGCAGTTGCTCTTAGATGCTTGTTTGAAAAAGGAGATGCACTTATGACTTCTGGTGACTTGCAGTTCTCTTGAATACCGATGTTGAACACACTTATTGTAAGTCGCTTTGGATAAAAGCGTCTGCTAAATGACTGTAATGTTATCACATCCTGCAGCATCAATATTTAAAAAATACACTAATAAATAATTGAGAAGTTATTGAAAACATTAAATATACTCAGTATATTCATTCAGTAGCATTACAGAACCACAAAGAACTCAAGTGTCACTGTACAGCCACAAGTATAATTTGGTTGTTTCAAATGTCAATAAAAATGTGTTTTTAAAGCGTATTAGTACATCATTAACAGTTACATTCAGTTCACAGTCGAGCTTTCGATTGATCAAATAGAAAGAAAGAAGCAGAGATTCAGTCTTAGATGTTTAAGGCCCACGGTTTGAACGATCCTGGTTTGCTGGCTGGAATCTGGAACAAAATAAAGGAAATGAATGGTTATCGTGTTGATTATTTAGTTTATATTTTACAAGAACAGTTTACACCCACACACAACAAACAATAGTAAAAGATAATAAACAATATCAGACACAGGTGTCAGTATTCCAATTAACCTTTCATTAAAAAAACAGGATCTTTTACTTTCCTTTAACATTTATTAAATCATTAAATTAAATAGTTAAATTTCATCTTTACCTTCTGAGTGAACGGGGAGGCACAAGCCAGACACGCCCTCTCCGGTGTCGCAGGGCTGTCGAGGGAAAACGGGCCGACTAAACCGGACTCGGAGCGAGCTGCAGCCACGGCGTCTTTGATGGCGAAGAACACCGAACTGCCCAGGAAGAGGGCCGGTTCTCCAATACCCTGCGGAGCCAAATCATCCGAAACATTATGGATTGATGTAAACACAAACAGAACAGTCGAGGGAGTCTGAGACAAGAAAGGATGAACAGACGGGGACCGAGCTCTGACCTTTGAGGAGTAGATGGCGTGGGGGTTGTGGGAGTCCGGCAGCAGATAGACGTTGAAGCGAAGCGGCACGTCGCAGACCGCGGGGATCTTGTACTGAGACGGGCCGCGAGTGTACAGGAGCCCGGAAGGGGAAAACTTCAACTCCTCCATGGTGTAGAGGCCCAAACCCTGCATGAACGCGCCTTCAATCTGAGAGGAAGGAGGGAGGAGACAGGAAAGGAAGGGGGAGAGAAGATGGAGGGCAGGGAGGAAGGAAAGGAAGTGCAAAAAAAGAAAAGCCAGTAAACAAATTAGTAAACTTAATTCTTTGGACAAAGAACAGAGTGATGCAAATAATACACGCCTTTCTGTGTCGGATTCCTTTTGGATTATTGTTAATTATTATATTATATATAATAGAGACTTTTAATCCCTTATTGCTTTCAGTAATTACCATCCTTTCCTTCTCCGCAGCTCCGTCCCTGCACATTCTGATTCCTTAAATAAAACCTTTGGTTCATTTTACAACAAAAGATTTTTCTTCTTCACACGAGACTCACCTGTCCGATGTCCACTGAGGGGTTCACACTTCTGCCGATGTCCATCACGATGTCCGTCCTCACCGTCTACAAGACAACATCGACAGAATTATTTTAAGAATTCTGAGCATGTCTCTCTGCAGCACCGAGATGAAAGAGAAAGTGGTTCAGTTCGGACCCTGTAGTCTCCTGTGAGGCAGTCCAGCTCCACCTCGCAGCAACACACTCCGAACGTGAAGTAAGCGAAAGGCTGCCCCTCCTTCTTGTCCCAGTCCATGTACAGGTCTGGACCTCTGAGGACACACAGGAGGCCGTTACCGTCGCTCGATAAATTAACTCATTAAATCAGACTACATATCTTGCATACCTGTAGAATCCAGTTGCTGATAAACTGATTTTCTCAAAAAATGCGGCCTGGGCCTGAGTGAAAATTGACAAAATACTTTCATTAAAATGCTGTAAATTATTAAGTTTCCCAAAAAAAAAAAATCCTTTCCTTTCTTATCAAATCTTACCCAACTCTCCCATGATCCTTTGGGGTGCTTCTGCCTGATTGGCTCCAGTCGCTGGTACAGAGTCTGGCAGGCATCCTGAATGAAAGAACGATTACACTGCAGTAATTCAGAATAAAAAACTGCAAAAACAGATCCTGCACCAGAAAATGCAGGATCTGGACTTCACCTTGACGGCCATGCCGTTGGCGTCGGTTCCGTAGGAGGCAGCAGAGGGGCAGGTGTTGGGAACCGTGCTGGTGCTGGTTTCACTGATGTAGATCTTAGAGGGAGGGATACGAAGCTCCCGACTCGCCACCTAACAGGAAAGAGGAAACAAACCCAGAGCTGAAAGGACGGCAGCACCAGAAATGTTCTGTATTTTTGTTAACAAATCGCATGAAAAGACTCGTGGAGCAGCGGGTAATGAACGGGTCAGAGATTTAATTTACAGATAAAGTAGATCCAGAGGACTTGCTGCTTTGTCACAGTACCTGTTGCATTTTAGTGTGGAGTCCCTGACCCAGCTCCGTCCCGCCGTGAGTGACCAGAACAGAGCCGTCTTTGTAGAGGTGGACCAGAGCAGCGGCCTTTTGCACACACAAACAAGCACACAGTTATATTCATATATGGAAAGAACCACAAAAAACACGAGTCAAAACGTTGAAAAAAAGACCGAACTGAATCCCGCAGACCTGATTCAAGTAGCTGTCCGAAAACGCAATCCCAATTTTAATGGGGATGATGGACATCCCCCTCTTCTTCCAGCGGTTCTGCTGGTTGAACTGGTCCACGGCTGCGCGGCGTGCGCCGTAGTCGGACTTGACCTTGCATTCCTCCCAGCAGCGCAGCATGCTCTCCGGGCTGAACTGAAACTTGTAGTGGGTGACCGACGGCCCCTTGTACATGTTGATCTCCCGAATCTGACGAAGAATTAAAAAATCAAATACTAACGCCGTTACTGGTCGAGCGTACGGCGTGGATGCATCACCTGGTCTGCAGGGCGCCGCAGCAGCACGGCCACGTCGTTGACCACGTTCTCCACGACCATGAGGCTCTGCGGCACGCCGAAGCCCCTGAAGGCGGTGTTGGAGGGCAGGTTGGTCCTGCAGGCGGCAGCGTGGCCCCTCAGGTTGGGGATGTTGTAGGCGTTGTCAATGTGAAGAAGGATTTTTTCTGCTACCTGCAAGAAGAAGACAATCAATAACATGCTTTTTATCATCATCATCATAAACATCACCGCGTTTACCCACCAGGAGAGAGTCATCCACCGTGTTGCCAGCATTGGCGTAGTACTGGAGATCTGCAGCCACGATGCGCCCGTCGTTCATGAAACCAACCTGAAACACACAACAGTTTAAAGATGCCCCTTGAGATAAACACGCTCAAATGGAAGAGAGTGTTGTCGTACTTTGTATTTTCCCAGGACAGGGTGACGGGCTCCTGTGATCAACATGTCCTCTCCTCGCTCCAGGACGCAGCGGACTGCACGATTGGTCCTGAACAGAAATTTAGAAACAATTATAAGAACGAGAAAGAAGAATTAAATCCGTTACGAGTGCGTCTAACTGGTTTGCCTTGAACACGCTGAGGAACAGACCCAGTGTTTGCAAACGGAAGCCGTGTTCGTGTTTATTTGCGTACAGAGCGGGGAAGTGAGATCTGATCACAGGTGCATGTGGGACTGATAATGGCAGGTGTCTTACTTCCACGCAGCCACAGAGGTAATACACGCCAGTATCAACGTTTTAGTGATCTTCCCGCCGAAAGCGCCGCCCACCCTTTTGACGTGACAGGTGACTCTGTTGGACGGGATGCTCAGCGTCTCCGCTATTGCATCCTGCAGTCAGTGAGAGAAGATGAGACAAAGCAGACAACCTGTGATCTCTAAAGTAAAAGAAGAACATATTTACGGAGTTAGTCGAAATACCTGAGTCAGTGTCGGCCACTGAGTGGAGACGTACGCGTTGAACTCCGTCTCCTCACCTACAGGAACAACCAGCATGCTCTGGGTCTCCATGTAGAAATGCTCCTGGCCACCGATTCGAAGCTCTCCTGCGGAAACATAAAAAACAAAAAGATGAAAACACGTTGGACGAAAGGACAAAACCAAAAGCTGGTTCTGTTGTCTGTGGGATGAGTAACTAAAGTCAACAAATAGAATAGATATTTGACCACCTGCTCTCACATTGTGTGAATAAAACCCACATGTTCTTCTACGAACAGAAAACAGACTTTCACCTTCGTGAACCTGATCAACCGTTTCAAAGGCTTCCGTCACATTTCCTCTCTCGATCGTCCTCCGAGGCTCAAAGAAAGACGACTTCTCAATGGCTTCCTGTCACAGTGGGACACAGCAAACACAAGCGTCTGGTGAAAGTATTTACAGATAATAACAGAAGGTAACGTGGACGAAATGATGCACAAAACCAGATTTGAGGTAGTGGTACAAGCATGGAAAAAGCTGAGCCGGACTCCACAGACCTCTGAGGTAAAAACCGGGTCAGGCAGGTCCTCGTAGCCGACCTTCACAGCTGCCGCTCCTCGTCTGGCGTGGGCCCTCGTATCGGCGACCACCGCGCATAACATCTGACCGACGCAGGACACCTGCAGACAAATTAAACCGTAGATCAGAATCAGGACGAGCCCTAAAAATCACTTTTCAATGTACAGTCCTGCAGAATTTATTGATTAATATAGTTGCAATATGTTGTTTTGTCATGTAAATAATTTATATCTTTTTAGAGCTGAATTATATATATATATATATATATATATATATATATATATACATACATACATACATACATACACACACACACACACACACATATACATATATATATATATACACACGTATATATACATATACACACACACACACACACACACACACACACACTCACGCTCTACCTCGGTCTCAGCCAGCAGCTCCTCTTCGTAACCAGATATTTCACGAACTTTCTGCCCCGGAATATCTTTTGCCGTGACGACGTCGACAACACCGGGAAGCCGCAGAGCCTCGCTGACGTCCAGCCCTCTGTCGGATAAAAAAAGAAACATTCAAAGACGAGAAGTGGAGTAAAACAAAAAGAGCGTCAGAGATCAAACTCCCGTCTCCTTACGTTATTTTAGCGTGCGCTCGAGAGCTGGTGACCAGAGCCAGGAAGAGCTCTCCGTCTGTCGTGGGGATGTCGTCGCAGTACACGGCCTCGCCTGTGGCATGGCCGAGGGCAGAGCGATGCATGATGGGACGCCCCACTGGGTCCTGGTCGCTCTGGTCCTTTGACACATGCTGAAGAAGAGGAAGCAGTGAAGTTTATTTACTGTTAATTGTGGGTGGACGAAACGTTGGAAAAGATGAAAAGTGTTTTCTCAAACGGTTAATTTCTTGTCTTTTTTCTGACCTGGAACTCCTGCCGGCTGGGTTGGATCTCTCTGGGTAAAGGACGCATCTGCATCTTCTCAGGAAGCTCATCTGTAATCACATTCTGCACACACAAACTCTCCCATAACAATCTCTCATAGGATCTTTATTTCAGGTGAAAAGTTACAAACAATGCAATGTTTTTAGTTTTTTTAATCTGTGTCTTACCATGTCTCTAAGTTTCTGCAGGACCTCCAGGTTAAATTTGAAGAGGAGGCTGAGAGTCAAAGAGCAACGGAACTCCACTTGTCCTCCAGGAGCCGACGGAGGGAGGACCAACTCGTCCAGGAGGACGTCATAGGCCCGACTGAGGGTCTCATCATCCCACAGCCTGAAGGAAACACACTCTCAGGTCGTTGGTTTTATTCATATTTTGGCCTATACTGAAAAATCAAGATGCTGCCGGGTTAAGTTAGAGAACCAGTGGGCAGAAGAAAGACAAAGCAGGACAAGAGCAAATGGAAAAGAAGGAAGACAAAGAAAGGAAATGAACGGCAAGAAATGAAGGATTCACGCAAGAAGACGGCAAAACTAAAACACAGATTAGACAAAGTGTGGGTGATAAACCTTGTGACGATAGCTGCGCAGGTTTTGGTGGCGCTAACGGTGGTCGGTCCCATTCCTCCATAGTAAATACTGACATCCTGAACCACCCGGGACCCCTCTGAGAAAAACACTCTCATCCCGGTGGTCACTGTGGGGAAGGAGCTCTCCTTCCTCGGAGCCTGGCGGAAAGCTCCAACAAACTCCCCCTGCAGGGCAGACAATGTAGTTTCATCTGTCAAAGTTCCACCTTCCACCTGCGTGCACATAAGACAGTTATGAACTAAATGGGAGCACGCTCGGAGAGAATAGAACCTTTCTGGAGAAGGGAATGAAGACGGAAACAACGATCTCTTCTGGCTTCAGGATGGTTTTCCCAAAGCTCACAAAGAAGTCTTGATTGAGAGGAAGCTCTCGTCTTCCTCCTGGTGGATTCAGACACAACCTCTTAAGAGTCAACGCGTCGTCACGTGAATCTACGGCAGCAGAGATTCACGGCAGCTTACCGTCACAAATGACGCTCACTTTGCAGTTGCCTGCAGCCAAAACAGGGTTCAGGTCTGAGTTTGGGTACGCACTCATGATGTTGCCCCCGAGAGACTAAAAAAGTACAAAAGAAAGAATAAACACATCTATTGAACATTAACATATATTAGTCGAGTTGTGAAGTCTACTGACAGCGACGTTACGGATCTGCTGGCTTCCCAAGTTGCCCAGCTGTCGGCTCAGCGCTCGGAACAGTTCGGTCTCCTCCTCCGGAAACTGAGGAACCAGCTTCTCCAAAAGGGACCGGACCTCCGTGAGACTGCAGCCCGCCCCCACCCAAACACCTGGAGGGGAGCCAGCATGTCAACAAAAGCTGCAGGTTTGGTGCCGAGGAGTTTTAAAAAGACAAAACTAGAAGTCTGCTCCTCACCCTGCGGTGTCTGAGCGACCTCAAACAGCTCCGTGACTCTGGTTGGAGATATTATCAGCGGATGCAGGATGCCTTTGAACTTTATATCTGGACCTTGAACACAAAGCAGACCAGAGCTAGTTACAATCAGGTATCAGGTAACAGAGCCATTGTAGGTGAAACAAATAAAGATTACGGAGCCGGGGGAAGAGGGGAATATTCCAAGGAAAAGCTTGGACATTCTCTAAAACTAAAGTGTTGGACTTACGAGAAAAACTCACAAATTTATGAGAAGAAAACTCTTGCATCAACCTCATCAAACCACAGCTGTATATATCACATTTATCAATTAGTATTTATTTATGTTCATAAAACAACAAAGAATATCTTTCAGGAACTTTGTTTCACTAAGAAATGAAATTAAATGAAATTCAGACGATGGCATTAATTCCTATAAATGCATCCGGCCTGCCTCTCTGTAATACACTGACCTATGTTGGTGTTCCCCATGACCAGCGGAGCTTTGGGGTTGCTGGTCTTCAGCTGGACCAGCTCCTCCAGGGAGGGGGGGGACACCCAGCTCATCCTCTCCCCACGAAAGGTGAGTGTCTTTGGGTTCGCCGCCTCTGCCATCAGCTGTGGAGAAAGTGCAGCACTGATAACACAAGACCTCAGATGACTCCGTGTGTGCCGAGTGCGTGAACATCTTAGGACTTACTATCAGCTCGGGGGGGAAGATGAGCTCCTGTGTCGGGTCCAGAGGAAGAAACTCTTCTCTGTCAAATAACTGAGGCTTTTCCTGCAGCGCATCATGTACAACATGTCAGAGGAGGAGGAGGCGGGTATTATATACAAGGGAAGGGAAGAAAGGCACAGAGAGGAACTTTAGAGAAAAAGAAATAAACACAGCGATCGATGAAGATTTAAATGAGGAACATGTTTGAAGAAAAATACGTACAAATAACAAATCACTCACATGCTCTGCTTCATCAGTATTCTGCCCTCCATTGAGGCAACAGTCTCCGCCTCCATTGGCTTGGCAGCAGTTGGCTTCCTGTTGGGATTGATTGATCATCACATTGTCCTGTCAATCATCACCGTATGTGTTATCGTGTTCCCTGTTTATTGGCTGCAGAGCCGAGCGGTGTACCTGACAGAAGGTCCTGCAGCCGTCGACGATGGGTCGATATCCAGTGCACCTGCACAGGTTACCTGAGCAGCAACAACACACAAAGAGGAGAGTTTGTGTGTGAGGACAGATTTAATAATCACATGCATATGAATAACTGGACTAGTTACATACCTCTAAACATTACACTACATAGATATAACAGACAAACCAGCTAGAGCCTGAGTGATGTCCTCCATGGTGGGCTGAGGCTTGTTCCTCAGCAGAGCGTACATGGACATCACCATCCCTGGAGTGCAGAAGCCGCACTGGGAGCCATGAGCCTTCGCTATTCGCTCCTACAAACACAGCATCCACAGTTTAAGGCCCCTTGAAACAGCTTTGAAATCACATTTACTCTTCAGCTAGTTGGGTTTCTGCATTAAACAGGAAGTTGAATTGGGGGCTGTACATCTGAAGGGATCTTGAAGACAAAAACAGTACTTTTACTACTTACAACAAAGGAGTTGCTGGTGTACTGCTGCCTCCAGCGGTGAGTTAGTTCGTGTTATTGTTTGACTTTGGTGTTTTAAAGGGTTTAATTTGGATTCACCAAACTGTTAAAGGAAAAGCCCTGACCTGCACAGGGTGGACCCTGGTCTTGGTGCTGCCGATGCCCTCCACCGTGGTGACGGCGGCTCCGTGAAGCTGGCAGAGCGGCAGTAGGCAGGCGTTGGCCGCGTAATGTCTGACGGTACGGTGAAGGGAAACAGTGACACTCAACATCCTGCAGATAAAACATCCCTTTATCTCCCAAGCACACTATGAACCTACATGTCAATCACAGTAGCTCCGCCCTAAAGCATCCCCTGCTTTATGGTCTGTGTGACTCTAAATGGACCATAATGTACTAAATGAACATCATGCTGTATTGAAGAAGACTTGAAACTAGAGATTGAGACCATAAACTCATGTTTACAATGTTTACTGAGGTAATAAATCAAGAGAGAAGTAGAGTCATTTTCTCATAGACTTCTATACAACCAGAGGAGTCACCCCCTGGTGGACACAAGAGAGAATGCAGGTTTTAACACATGACGCATCCTACCGCTAGGTTGGGAACCAGTGGCGTGTACTTTATAAGCTGGGACACAGTGCTGACATCTACTCCAAATTCCTCAAATACCTGTGGACAGTTGTGGACCAGATTCTGGTTTGTCAGAAAGGATACGTGATGGTTTTGGTGGCCGGTTGGTGGCGTGACACCATGACCGTGCACGCCCCGCAGCCTCCGCCGCCGCAGCCGTACTTGGTTCCAGTTAACCTCACTGACGTCACAAGTCAAGGACGTCACCAGGTGTGTTGAGACCTGTAGGTGGCGCTCTCACATCAACGTAACATTATAAAAAACATGTTTAAAGGATACGCTTCTCTCTGAGGAAGGACAACAGCATGGTTTCAGGGTCCGCATTGTTCTCGGTTACCTGTTTTAGGAAGGAGAAACATTTCACCTGTTCCCTCCGTTGGGTTAGCACAAAATAATATTGTGTTGTTTAAGTGGTACGCCTCCACTACAGACCAACAATGTGTGCAGAGATTACTTTACCTCGCATTAGTTTTATCAAAACGAATAAACTATACACCAACACTGAAGAAAAACAAACATCGAAAACACTGAAAAGTATATTTTAGAGTGATTAGCTCTTCTGTGGAGAATGGCGGGAACTCTTTGATCTGTTATTGCGTTTGGATGAACTATTACACTAAACTTCAACAGTTGTTAAACGAATAAATGTGCAAAAAAATAAATACTTACAAACAATTAGATTCAACTAAAGATTAAATATCATATACAGTCAGAATAAAACACATTTGAGAGACTGGAATCATTAAAAAACTTTCTAAAAACACAAACTCTACTTCAAACTTCCTGCATCAAAACTTCAGAACTAGTTCACAAAGTGTCTCATGTTGAATGGTTTGAATCTGTCTGCATGTTATTGCATGATGTTTAAAGAATGTATCTGCCTTTCTTCACTCTTTTTATTTGCTTGCTTATTGCAGATAAACAAGTTCGACCTAAATAGATAAGCGCACTAGCTCCTGGCTGCAGAGAGTGACATAGGTCACTCTGACCTATGTCACTCTCTGACCTACGTCACTCTCTGACCTACGTCACTCTCTGACCTATGTCACTCTCTGCAGCACTCGGATACTTTAACATACTTATTAAAACAACACGACAAAACTGTTCGTGACTAACTGGTTCGATGTGGAACTCACCTTTTTCCCGTTGATGAAGAAGCACAAACTATCTCCTTCTTTCTCTGCAGACATCTTGGAAGACATCGCTGAAGAATAAGACACGACTTTGTCAAAACAAAAGATCAAGTTAGTCTGAATGTGCAGCACTTCCGCCTGTCAGGACTTTCAAAATAAAACAAATTGAGGCATGAAAAACAGCTGCAGAAATACATTAATTTACTTTGCTATAGTATTACCTTTTTAGTGACATTATGCATACAGTACAATAGCCAATTTAGACACATCTGAAGGCAGTCATTACTTTGAATATTGCAATTTTTACATTAAAAATCATTATATCACAATATATATATATACATAT